AGTTGGTTGAAAATGTTCAAAGGAGAGACCAGACTGGTGCCTGCACTTCGGCACCTCAGCTACCTGAGAGATTGGAGCGCCTGAACTTCGCTAGCTTATACTACAGACGGGCAAGGGGTGACCTATTGAGGTGTATAAAGCATCTCAGGGCACTACTCAGTCAAGTGTCCTTACTTGGAGCTGGCGGACGCTCGCCTGGGGTCACAGCTCAAGATTGAAGAAGCCGCAAGTCCAGAAAACTGTGAGGGTAAACTTTTTCGGGTAGGGTTGTAAACTCTTGGGACAATCTACCAGAGAGTGTTGTGACGGCACCGAGTGTGAGTTGTTTAAAGACCAGACTTGACCAACACTGGAGCGGGTTCAGGTACATTCAGGAGCCGGTGCATGCCCAGTACTTGCCAACAATGTGCAACAGAGACGTGATCCTTGCGGCAGCTAGTGAGCCGATTTTTTGGTGAAGAAGGATAAAAATAAAGTAAAAGTAAATGGGTTCGAATAGGGTCAATGGGGATAATGGGTTGGTTGGTTTAGTTTATGGGTCAAATGGGTTTAAATAATCAAATGGTTTCAATATATATACCTGCTTACCGAGCAGGAATGTAATATAGGCAAAGTTGAGGGTAGGAGGGTCAGGGGACGGCTGGGGCCTATCATAACAGGGCCTACAGGACAAAGATCTATCATAACAGGGGCCTACCAGGACAAAGATCTATCATAACAGGGGCCTACATGGACTGGGACACTGACAGTACACCGACTGACAGTTATCAAGAATGATAGGCCGATCATCACAGCTCCCAGACAACAGGTAAACTCAGCAGATATGTGTACAGTCTCGCCTGGAATGTGACTATAAATACCATATTCAACACACACACACACACACACACACACACACACACACACACACACACACACGCACACACAGATGTTATTTTAGAAGAAATCGATGACGACCAATCATATCTTCACGTGTGTCCCGGGGGTTATAATTGTTTTCCACCATATAGCACTTAAGGGAAGAAAAGAATGAATGAACTGACCAATTATAATCTTAAGTTTCTTTCTGGTGAGATTTTTATTGGTTCTTTAGATAACCATTAGAACAGTTATCGTGAAAGAGAACACAAGCGAGAAATTGCCGCGAGGGAACCAATCCTAAACTCCTGTTTCGTATAAGGAGAGTTCTAATTGGCTCTCCTAGCATCGTATACACAGTAACTTCACAAAAGAATACAGAAGACGGCCAATTATAATCTACCATTTCACAGTCGTTGGTTATAATTGGTCAACGGACAGTCAACACGAGCTGACGAAACACAAACAGACAGACAGACAGACAGACACACTTTAACACATAGACAGACAGACAGACGACAGACACATAACACACAAACAGACAGACAGACAGGCAGACACACCCTATCACTTAAACAGACAGACAGACAGACACACCTTAACACATAGACAGACAGACAGACACACACCTTAACACATAGACAGACAGACAGACACACCTTAACACACAAACAGACAGACAGACAGGCAGACACACTTAACACATGAACAGACAAGACAGACACACCTTAAACACATAGACAGACAGACAGACACACCTTACCACAAACAGACAGACAGACAGGCAGACACACCCTATCACTTAAACAGACAGACAGACAAACACCTTAACACATAGACAGACAGACAGACACACCTTAACACATAGACAGACAGACAGACAGACAGACACACTTAACACACAAACAGACAGACAGACAGGCAGACACACCCTATCACTTAAACAGACAGACAGACAGACACACCTTAACACATAGACAGACAGACAGACACACCTTAACACATGAACAGACAGACAGACACACCTTAACACAAACAGACAGACAGACAGGCAGACACACAACAACACATAGACAGACAGACAGACACACCTAACACATGAACAGACAGACAGACACACCTTAACTAGACAGACAGACAGACACACCTTAACACACAGACAGACAGACAGACACACCTTAACACATAGACAGACAGACAGACAGACAAACAGACACACCCCTAACACATAGACAGACAGACAGACACACCTTAACACACAAACAGACAGACAGACAGGCAGACACACCTTAACACATAGACAGACAGACAGACACACCTTAACACATGGACAGACAGACAGACACACACCTAACACATAGACAGACAGACAGACACACCTTAACACATAGACAGACAGAAGACACACCTTAACACACATAGACAGACAGACAGACAGACAGACACACCTTAACACATAGACAGACAGACAGACAGACACACCTTAACACATGGACAGACAGACAGACACCTTAACACATGACAGACAGACAAAACACCTTCAACACATAGACAGACAGACAGACACACCTTAACACAATAGACAGACGAACGACACCTTAACACACAAACAGACAGACAGACAGGCAGACACACCCTATCACTTAAACAGACAGACAGACAGACACACCTTAACACATAGACAGACAGACAGACACACCTTAACACATAGACAGACAGACAGACACACCTTAACACACAAACAGACAGACAGACAGGCAGACACACCCTATCACTTAAACAGACAGACAGACAGACACACCTTAACACATAGACAGACAGACAGACACACCTTAACATAGACAGACAGACAGACACACCTTAACACACACAAACAACAGACAGACAGAGCAGACACACCCTATCACTTAAACAGACAGACAGACAGACACACCTTAACACATAGACAGACAGACAGACACACCTTAACACATGACAGAGACAGACAGACACATAACATAGACAGACAGACAGACACACCAACACATAGACAGACAGACAGACAGACAGACAGATAAACACGACAGGAGCATTTGGTGTACCAGTGGCGCCTCTGATGGTCACCTCAGAAACTACTGAGATAACACAGTAACTAAACACTTGAGACGGTGTGTGTGTGTGTGTGTGTGTGTGTGTGTGTGTGTGTGTGTGTGTGTGTGTGTGTGTGTGTGTGTGTGTGTGTGTGTGTGTGTGTGTGTGTGTGTGTGTGTGTGTGTGTGTGTGCAACCAATAATTAAACCAGGAGTAAAACCAGGTTTATAAGACATCAACACACCTGGTTTATGTAACACTGTGTTGAGCTGAGATAATGACGTGTTGTAATGATGTAGGGTTATGTAATGTGGGGTCATTTACCTGTACCTGTACCTGTATTGATACAGGTGAATGACGTCACGGTTAGATGACGTCAAGGGTGGGATGACGTCACGGTTGGGAATGACGTCACGAGGGGAATGATGTCGCAATAAATATGAGACTAAGGGGATTTAAAGCCAGGCACACACACACACACACACACACACACACACACACACACACACACACACACACACAATATAATAATCCACAATTAAAATATTTCTGTTTTACAATTAATTTTACGTCCATGAAGAATAATTAATTACTTTGGTGTTTAATTATATAAAGGTAATAATAATCCAGGTGAATTATAATAAATGGGAAGTAATTAAATATAAAATAATCCATTAATCCCATCTAGAGGATTTAAACTAATCAGGTCCTGTAATGCATTCCAGCAACCTGGCCAATCACAAGCCTCGCCTCATCATTCAACCAATTGAACACACTCGCCTCGTCGTCTCAACCAATCAGGACACTCTGCCTCGTCATTCAACCAATGGGAACACACCTCGCCTCGTCGTCTCAACCAATCAGGACACTCGCCTCGTCATTCAACCAATGGAAACACACCTCGCCTCGTCGTCTCAACCAATCAGGACACTCGCCCGTCATTCAACCAATTGGAACACACTCGCCTCGTCGTCTCAACCAATCAGGACACTCGCCTCGTCATTCAACCAATTGGAACACACTCGCCTCGCCTGCCTAACCAATCAGAACACTCGCCTCAACAGCAGCACAAGAGGACAGGCTTTCCCTGAGAGAGATAACACTTGAAGGTTAAGATAACACTTGAAGGGCAACGATAACAGGAAGCAAAGAAGACACAAGCTCAAGATAACATCAGTCGTCACATAAGAGCGGCACAGGCAAGACGTTGGTTATCAAGATCAGGAACTAAGATCACCTGTAACCACTACACACCAGAGACCAGACGTTGGTTATCAAGATCACTTTAAATTCCATGATAGAGGTAAAGGAAACATCTAAGATCACTTGTGTCGTATGATAACTTCAGAGAGCAAGATTCAGGTTAACAAGATCAGAAGAGTTCTAAGATAACCTTCAGCGGCTAATGGAAGGCTGTTAAGATCACTACAGGCTACAAGACTACACGTCACTCACCAAGATCACATACAGGCAGTAGAGTAACACACACACACACACACACACACCAAGTTATCTTAGAGGTGTCCCACTAACCGGCAAAATCACACTCCTACCAAAATCACTCAACAGGCGGCTGACGTTATCTTCACCGCCTCTAAGATCACAACCATCCAATAAACGTCGGAGGTCATCGTCATCATCATCATCATCATCATCGTCAACCAAAAATGACAACCAACCCGGTCAAGATCACACGAGAGACGACAATCCTGAATACCCCTCACCATAACCAAATTCAACCACAAGTCATCCAAGTCATCATCCAAGTCATCATCCACAACTAAATCACCATCATCATCATCACCATCATCATCATCATCATCATCATCATCATCCAGACCTCATCACGTACAAGCTAGACCACCAAAGTCATCACCATCGTCACCATCATCACACCAGTCATCAAAATCAGTGAAGTCAAGTCATCACCATCATCACCATCATCATCACCATCACCCCAAGCCTCACAATAAACCTGGCACAACCTGAAGCCTCGAGTTATGTTCCACAAAATGAAGATGCCGCCCACTGAACTGCCCACGCCCACGCCCACAGACCTGGCCTACATCACTCTAAGAGTGACCATCACCATCATCATCACCATCATCATCACCATCAACAGCAACACCATCAGTTTGTTGAGAAGGTATTTTGTGTGTGTGTGTGTGTGTCTGTGTGTGTGTGTGTGTGTGTGTGTGTGTGTGTGTGTGTGTGTGTGTGTGTGTGTGTGTGTGTGTGTGTCCTTAATTAGTGTTTGTATTGAGGTATTAGGAAGGTAGTACAGGTGTTAAGGTATTGTTTTTGTTATTTTGTTAACTAAATATTAAAATGTGTTTATATATATTTTAGTCGTTGTTTAATCTTATCTCCGTAAAAATAAACAGAGAGATAATTATATTCTCACCATTCTGTCTGTCACTATATTGTTCACCATACAATGTGTACTTATTTATTGTCTCTACCTCACCACACGATCACCATCTCACCACACTACCAGTACACCCACATCACTTCACCACTAACAATTCACACTCGACCACAAGCACCGTCACCTTTACCACTACACACACACACCACACCACTACACTACCACTTCATCACCATTACCACCATCATCACCACCACCACCACTATCACCACCCACTCCATCACCACCACTTCACCACCACCATCACCACCACCTCCATCACCACCACTTCACCACCATCACCACCACTTCACCACTCCCTCACCCCACCAAACTAACACACCTCCCTCTCCTCTCCCCAACAGAGCGCCAAGATGCCCAGTACTTCTTCTTCAGGAGGTACCAGCCCCCAGCCCTTGAGCACCCCACTCGCTAAGGTCACCACCCCCAGGAAGATCAGCTCACAGCAGGAGTTGAGTGACCTCCTCTGCTGCCCCGTGTGCCTAGAGGAGTACCAGCTGGAGGGCGAAGGAGGGAGGGAGCCGCTCTTCCTCGCCTGCCACCACAGCGTGTGTCGTGTCTGTCTCCCGAGGTTGATCAAAGTCCAGTCTGGGAGGACGGCCAAGGACGTGGTGAGAGAGAGAGAGAGAGAGAGAGAGTAATATTAAGGTCCTTAATGTTTACTGTGACATAGAGAGAGAGAGAGAGAGAGAGAGAGAGAGAGACAATAACAAACTCCCCGGTGTTCCACAGGGTGAACTCTCGTGCCCAGAGTGTAGGGTGGCGACACTGGTGCCCCCTAGCGGCCTCTCCCAGAACTTCTACCTCGTCAGTCTCATCGAGGCCAGGAGGCGCAAGGACAAAGAGACATTCAGGTGAGAGACAGTGGCTGAGAGACATTGGTTAAGAGACACAAGATGACATTAAATACCGGTTGAGAGAGATAGAGTGAGACAGTATTAATACCGGTTGAGAGAGAGAGTGAGACAGAATTATAGACACACGAGAGAGAGATAGAGAGATATAGAGAGAGATAGAGAGAGATAGACAAGTAAACATCCCTGACTATTTCGTTATCGCTCAAGTGTCGTCAATCATGTTGTTCTGTGTGTGTGTGTGTGTGTGTGTGTGTGTGTGTGTGTGTGTGTGTGTGTGTGTGTGTGTGTGTGTGTGTGTGTGTGTGTGTGTCATCACAGCACACACAACACACACACACACCCATTCCTATTATAGCAATTAAATTCAAATAGTTCACGATACATTTAACATTATTTACAATTACTCAGTGTCGTTTAAAATTAATTAGAGAGTTTACAATTACAATTATTATAGATTACAATTACAATGACGATAGTTTACAATTACTCCACACCTAATTGAGATGTGGCTCTCGTCCTGACAGCCGATTGAGGATGTGGTGGTGAGTGCGGTGTGGCTCTTGAGTCCTGCGCCACTCACCAGCTGACTCACCTGTCATCCGTCCTCACCTCCTCCCTCACCACCTACTCCGCCACCAGGGCCAGGCTCATCACCCTCCTACAGGTGAGGTACAGGTGTCTTACAGGTGTCTTACAGGTGAGGTACAGGTGTCTTACAGGTGTTACAGGTGAGGTACAGGTGTATTAAAGGTGTTGGCAGAGGTACAGGTGTAAAGGTGTTACAGGTGCTACAGGTGAGGCACAGGGTGATTAAAGGTGTTACAGGTGAGGTACAGGTGTTAACAGGTGCTACAGGTGAGGTACAGGTGTATTACAGGTGTTACAGGTGTCTTACAGGTGCTACTGTATGTATATTTTGTATTTTAATAATGTGTCTGTAAGAATCTCGCTCAACCTAACCTAACACTAACCTAACGTAACCCAACGTAACCTAACATAACCTAACGTAACCCAACGTAACCCAACGTAACCAACGTAACCTAACGTAACCTAACGTAACCTAACACCAACGTAACGTAACACTAACCCAACACTAACCCAACCTAACACTAACCCAACCTAACACTAACCTAACGAACCTAACGAACCCAACATAACCTAACGTAACCCAACATACCTAACGTAACCCAACCAGGCAGGAGGGCGAGGAAGAAGGGGAGGAGGCTGAGAGATGAAGGAGGCGGTGGAGCAGCTGGACAGAGCCTCATCATCCTCAGGAGGGTGCCTGGCCCACCTCGACCACGCCACTTCCAGCCAGGCCAGTGCTGGCTCCCTCCTGCACCAGGTGGGTACAGGGGAGGGAGGGCTGGGTGAGGAGGGGAGGTGGGTGTAGGTGGGTGGGGTGGGAGGGAGGATGGTGAAGGAGGGACAGAGAGAGGTGTAAGGAGGTTAAGGATAAGGAAAGCAAGGAGGAAAGGTGAAGATAGATGAGGGAAGGAGGGAGGAAGGGAAGGAAGGAGGAAGGGAAGGGAGGAGGAAGGGAAGGAAGGAGGGAGGAAGGGAAGGAAGGAGGGAGGGAAGGGAAGGAAGGAGGAGGAAGAAAGGAGGGGAGGAAGGGAAGGAAGGAGGGAGGAAGGAAGGAAGAGGGAGGAAGGAAGGAAGGGAGGGAGGAAGGAAGGAAGGAGGGAGAAGGAAGAAAGGAGGAGGAAGGAAGGAAGGAGGGAGGAAGGGAAGAAAAGGGAGGGAGGAAGGGAAGGAAGGAGGGGAGGAAGGGAAGGAAGGAGGGGAGAAGGAAGGAAGAGGGAGGAAGGGAAGAAAGGAGGAGGAAGGGAAGGAAGGAGGGAGGAAGGGAAGAAAGGAGGGAGGAAGGGAAGGAAGAGGGAGGAAGGAAGAAAGGAGGGAGGAAGGGGAAGGAGGGAGAAGGAAGAAAGGAGGGGAGGAAGGGAAGGAAGGAGGAGGAAGAAAGGAGGGAGGAAGGAAGGAGGGAGGAAGGGAAGGAAGGAGGGGAGAAGGGAAGGAAGGAGGAGGAAGGGAAGAAAGGAGGGAGGAAGGGAAGGAAGGAGGGAGGAAGGGAAAAGGAAGGAGGGAGGAAGGGGAAGGAAGGGAGGAGGAAGGAAGAAAAGGAGGGAGGAAGGGAAGGAAGGAGGGGAGGAAGGGAAGAAAGGAGGGAGGAAGGGAAGGAAGGAGGAGGAAGGGAAGAAAGGAGGGGGAGGAAGGAAGGAAGGAGGAGGAAGGGAAGAAAGGAGGGAGGAAGGAAGGAAGGAGGGAGGAAGGGAAGAAAGGAGAGGAAGGAAGGAAGGAGGGAGGAAGGAAGGAAGGAGGGAGAAGGGAAGGAAGGAGGAGGAAGGGAAGAAAGGAGAGGAAAGGAAGGAAGGAGAGGGAGGAAGGGAAGAAAGGAGGGAGGAAGGAAGGAAGGAGGGAGGAAGGAAGGAAGGAGGAAGGAAGGGAAGGAAGGAGGGAGGAAGGGAAGGAAGGAGGGAGGAAGGGAAGGAAGGAGGGGAGGAAGGGAAGGAAGGAGGAGGAAGGAAGGAAGGAGGAGGGAAGGAAGGAAGGAGGAGGAAGGGAAGAAAGGGAGGAGGAAGGGAAGGAAGGAGGAGAAGGGGAAGGAGGGGAGAAGGGAAGGAAGGAGGGAGGAAGGGAAGAAAGGAGGGAGGAAGGGAAGGAAGGAGGGAGAAGGGAAGAAAGGAGGGAGGAAGGGAAGGAAGGGAGGAAGGGGGAAGAAAGGAGGGAGGAAGGAAGGAAGGAGGGAGGAAGGGAAGAAAGGGGAGGGAGGAAGGGAAGGAAGGAGGGAGGAAGGGAAGGAAGGAGGGAGGAAGGAAGGAAGGAGGGAGGAAGGGAAGAAAAGGAGGGGAGGAAGGGAAGAAGGAGGGAGGAAGGGAAGAAAAGGAGGAGGAAGGAAGGAAGGAGGAGGAAGGGAAGGAAGGAGGAAGGAAGGGGAAGGAAGGAGGAGGGAAGGGGAAGGAGGGGAGGAAGGAAGGAAGGAGGAGGAAGGAAGGAAGAGGGAGGAAGGGAAGGAAGGAGGGAGAAGGGAAGGAAGGAGGGAGGAAAGGAAGAAAGGAGGAGAAGGGAAGGAAGGAGGGAGGAAGGGAAGAAAGAGGGAGGAAGGGAAGGAAGGAGGGAGGAAGGGAAGGAAGGAGGAGGAAGGAAGGAAGGAGGGAGGAAGGGAAGGAAGGAGGGGAGAAGGAAGAAAGGAGGGAGGAAGGAAGGAAGGAGGGAGGAAGGGAAGGAAAAGGAGGGAGGAAGGGAAGGAAGGAGGGAGGAAGGGAAGAAAAGGAGGAGGAAGGGAAGGGAAGGAGGGAGGGAAGGAAAGAAAGGAGGGAGGAAGGGAAGGAAGGAGGGGAGGAAGGGAAGGAAGAAGGGAGGAAGGGAAGGAAGGAGGAGGAAGGGAAGGAAGGAGGAAGGAAGGGAAGGAAGGAGGGGAGAAGGGAAGGAAGGAGGGAGGAAGGGAAGAAGGAGGAAGGAAGGGAAGGAAGGAGGGAGGAAGGAAGGAAGGAGGAAGGAGAAGAGAATCAGTGTTGGAAAAATTTATTATTATCTATTCATGTTATTAACTGTGCGTCAACTATTGCTTCACCATTAACTGTGCGTCAACTATTGCTTCACCATTAACTGTGCGTCAACTATTGCTTCACCATTAACTGTGCTGTACAGGGTGATCTATAAGCACACCTGTCATAATTAAACACCTGTTATTTACCTTTTTCTACTTGCAGTAACTATTGAATTGGTCACAGGTAATATTGTCAGTGGTCACCATTACCACTGTTGACTGTAGGTAGAACAAGAGGTGTAACGAGGAGGAACTGTAGCGTTAATTAGGACAGGTGTACAGGTGTGTGTGTGTGTGTGTGTACAGGTGTGTGTGAGGTGTTGTCTAAAGTGTCATTGTTATTGTACAGGTCGAGGAGATGACGAGGCAGGTGGAGCAAGAGGCCAACCTCTCAGAGAAGCAGTATCCCTCACTCACCACCACCACCACCAGCAGCAGCAGCGGGAGGAAGACAGAGAAGACCCGGAAGTTGTCCTCCCCGTGTGGCGTGACGAGCGGGAAGACGGTAGGAGGAGGAGGAGAGGTAGAGAGGGGGGAAGAGGGTGTGGATGCACTGACCACCCTCCTCTACAACAGAAGGTTGAGGAAGACACAATCAGACCTCAGTGATGTTATGTACCCCAGACTCGACCTTCTCAACCTCGACACATCCCCCACATCAGCCGTCACAACACCCACATCAGCCGTCACAACACCCACACTGTCATCTGTGTTACGTGGGGCCTCTGACACTACCAGCTGGACGTCCCCAACAGCCACTTCCCGACAGTACTCCTCCTTCAACTCCTCCTACGACCAGCTAAGTTGTGAGGATCAGGAGAGTAAGATCAACCTTCTACGACACTGTCTCTCCTCCCTGGACACTATAGAGAGCACCATACTTAAGGACACCATAGAGAGAATCCCTAAGAAGATGTCCTCAGATGATCTAGATAAAGAAGAGTTATTGGCCATGTTCAAGAGGGCGGTGGACACTCTACAGAAATGTTAACAAGAGGGGGAGGAATATTGTGATGTCACCACTCGCCAATATTATTTGTGTTGACGTCACCATTCGCCTCCATTATGTGTGTTGACGTCACCACTCGCCATCATTATGTGTGTTGACGTCACTACTCGCCACCATTATGTGTGTTGACGTCACCACTCGCCACCATCATGTGTGTTGACGTCACTACTCGCCACCATTATGTGTGTTGACGTCATCACTCGCCATCACAACAAACACACGACCCAGATATTGGACACAGCTAAGAGACACAGCTAAGAGACACAGCTAAGAGACACAGCTAACAGACACAGCTAACAGACACGGAACCTGGATTAATTTAACATGAGGGCTGTTTTGTGACTGGGGCCTATTGTGACTACATGACAGACTGGGGGCCTGTTGTGACTGGGGCCCTGGCCAGACTGGGGCCTATTATGACTGGGGCCCAGAGACTGGGCCCCACAGACTGGGGGCCCACAGACTGTGGGGGCCCACAGACTGGGGCTCACAGACTGGGGCCCAGAGACTGGGGCCACAGACTGGGGCCCACAGACTGGGGGCCCATGTGACTGAGACCTATTGTGACTGGGGCCTATTGTGACTAGAGCCCTATTATGACTGAGAGCCTACTATGACTAGAGCCTATTGTGACTGAGGGCCCTATTGTGACTGAGAGCCCTGTGTGACTAGGCTGTGACTGAGAGCCCTGTGTGTGACTGAGCCCTGTGTGACTGGGCCTGTGTGACTTCAAGGCCTGTTATGACTGGGCCTATTGACTGGGGGCAGTTGTGACTGGGGCCCTGTGCCAGCTGGGAGCCTGTGTGACTGGGGCCTCTCTCTGTTATGACTGGGGCCTGTTATGACTGGGGCCTATTATGACTGGGGCCTGTTAGATTGGGCTCCAGCAGGACAGACCTATTAACACTGTACTTATGTATAGTAACTCTAATATTGTACTTTTTTTATTAATTCACTATTTTCAAAGTTTATATATAGTGTACAAGTTCTATCATTCGTATCATCACTGCTTTTAAAGTATACAATTTCTATCATACACAAAGTATACAGGAGTTTAATACAAGTAATTTTACACGTGTCATTATATATAAGGCTTGTATAGTCTCATTACTTTCAAAGTTTGTATTTTCTGTCATACACAAAGTATACAGAAGTATTTTCATTCATCTTTAATAATTTCATATACATCAAAGTATATATTTCACCTTCATTACTTTGTGGTTCTAATTACTTTTACCTACATAAAACTTTATATACTTTCTCCCTTAATTATAAACATTATTCACTACTTTTATGTATAATAATATGATGTTTTAATGTTATTTATATTGTATAATGACTGTATTGATTTAGTGAAAAATAAAGAAATATTTTAAATTAGTTTGTTTTAATTAACGAATTTATGTTATGGAATACATACACACACACACACACACACACACACACACACACACACACACATCTAACAAGCACCAACTACCACACCTAACAAGCACCAACTACCACACCTAACAAGCACCAACTACCCTCACCACGGTAATCACACACCTTGCCCTGTGATTGCTCCTTTGCTCGACCAATACTTATTAATGGACACGACACAGGCTGAGGCGATGTATTGCTGAGTTATTATTCCTGAAGTATACACCATGCATGACTGTCAGTGCCCGTGTGCCCGTGCATGACTGTCAGGGTCCGTGCATGACTGTCAGGGTCCGTGTGCCCGTGCATGACTGGGTCAGGGCCTGCGTGCCCGTGCATGACTGCTCAGGCCTGTGTGCCCGTGCATGACCGTCAGTGCCTGTGTGCCTGCAGACTGTCAGGCCCGTGTGCCCGTGCATGACCGTCAGGGCCTGTGTGCCCGTGCATGACTGTCAGGGGCCCGTGTGCCCGTGCATGACCGTCAGGCCCTGGGTGCGCCCGTGCATGATCGTCAGGCCCGTGTGCCCGTGCATGACTGTCAGCCCGTGTGTCCGTGCATGACCGTCAGCCCGTGTGCCCGTGCATGACTGTCAGGCCCGTGCGACTGCCAGGGCCTGTGCACGATCAGGGGTGTCCGTGCATGACTGTCAGTGCCCGCATGACTGTCAGGTCCGCATACTCATAGGGGCCCGCATGACTGTCAGTGCCTGTGCATGACTGTCAGGGTCCGTGCATGACTGTCAGGGCCCGTGCATGACTGTCAGGGACTGTGCATGACTGTCAGGGCCCGTGCATGACTGTCAGGGCCCGTGCATGACTGTCAGGGTCCGTGCATGACTGTCAGGGCCCGTGACATGACTGTCAGCAACTGTTGATGACGTGCCTGACGGGTCAATTTCAGAGGATATACTTAAAAAACTTCCAATCTGTTAACAACCCTTGACGAGGCAGTTAGCGATGGTAGGAGTTTGTTTTAGTCCTAGTAACGTTGTGCATGACGTAATGATGACATCATAGTGTAATGCATGACGTCAAATGATCAATACCTGCATGATATAAATCCAAGAAATTTACACACACACACACACAAAGACACACACACACACACACACACACACACACACACACACACACACACACACACACACACAAACACACACACACACACACACACACACACACACACACACACACACACACACACACACACACACACACACACCCAGCTGGTTGAATCGACACAACACCCAAAATAGCATCAGACAAGACTGAGACTCTACCTTACCTAGATACCTAACTACGTGGGATTCTAATAGTCGCTAATGGCCACCCCTGCTCAGATGTGGTAAGCCATGCTGAGGGAAGGAGGCCATGCTGAGGGAAGGAGGCCATGCTGAGGGAAGGAAGCCATGCTGAGGGAAGGAAGCCATGCTGAGGGAAGGAGGCCATGCTGAGGGAAAGAAGCCACCACCACCACAACTTGGGCTGATAGAATGGCTCATAGGTCTACCACCACACAACAATAACGCCTTAAACAGACATATTAGATTTATTCACCACGTACGTAAAATGTCCTTAAGTGTCCGTGCTTCCGTTCTGGTACTTGAGAAGGAATGAATCTTAGTTCTGTAGGCTAGAGTCCAGTGTTTATGAGGCAAGTGGGTGAGTATTACGGGTCTAGTATAGTTAGCGGTGAACGTTTTCTATGATAGCCCGTGTTGTGTTTCAGGGGATACCTATTATTATTATTATTATTATCGTTATTATTATTATTATCTTTATTATTATTATTCATTGTATTATTATTGTTGTTGTTGTTGTTATTGATAAGCTGTAATCGATAAATAAACAAATTGTATTTATCCAACAGAATTCAGAAGAGACACATCGACCATTTTATCTCCATCACATAATAACAAATGACTGAAGACTTTAATATTGTTTATTTTATCTCACCTTTCTTAATAAACTTCTACATACTTATACTTTCTTGTTTACTACGATACCACTTCACCAAATAAAGTTCATAAATAGAAGTTAAGTCTATAGTTAATCTAGGACGAATATTTACCCAACGAACAATTACTAATCTGTACGTGAGAAATTCGCAATAAATAATATTTCTGGTGGTCAAAAATATTCCAACGTTTGTGGACCTGCAATCACCCAGCGCCGGATAATTGATTAACGGATATTTTGTGTTCGGTTAAGCGGTGGGTTGGCTGATTGGCCCCGCCTCAGAGTGTAAAAACTGTCACCGTCGTCACTCGTACAACCAACACGGCAAGACTCCCACAGATTCAGATTTTGTCAACTTTTTCGATTTAATAAATTTTTGGGGGTTGATATTTTTTTTTTGAGAAGGAAGTAATATGAACTCTTCAACAACAACAACAATAATAATAATAATAATAATAATAATAATAATAATAATAATAATAATAATAATAATAATAATAATAATAATAATAATAATAATAATAATAATATCCTCACTAGTATCAGGCAAAAAAAATAAATATATATTAAATTTACATAAAAAAAATAGTTAAAATTATTTGGAAGGTTTCAACAAGTGACGCAGTGTGATACATGACACAGTCCCTACCACAGTCCCTACCACAGTCCCTACCACAGCGATGACAATACCATCAACATTCCCGAAGATGGATGGAGGGAGGGAGGGAGGGAGTGGTAGGAGGGAGGGAAGGAGGAGGAGGAGTGTGGTAGAGGGAGGAGGGAGGGAGGGAGGAGGGTGGTAGGAGGGAGGTGGTGGAGGGAGTGGTGGGAGGGAGGGAGGGAGGAGTGGTAGAGGAGGGAGGGAGGGAGAGGGAGGAGGGAGGGAGGGTGGTAGGAGGGAGGGAAGGAGTGAGGGAGGAGTGGTAGGAGGAGGAGCACAAAGGTATCGGCCAAAGAGACGGACTTAGGTCAATATTTGTACATCATTGTACAACACCTACCACACCCCACACCCTCCACACCTACCCCACCTACCACACCCTCCACACCCTACCACCCTATCACCCCACCACCCTACCCCTACACCCTCCCACACCCTACCACCTACCACCTATCACCCTACACCTCCCACCACACCCTCACCTACACACACCCTCACACACCCCTACTCTACACACCCTATCACCCTACCACACCTACCACCCCTACACCCCTACCACCTACCACACCCTACCACCCTACCACCTACAACACCCTCCACCTCCCCACACCCCTCCACACCCCTACCACACACCCTCCCCACACCCCTACCCACACCCCTCCCACACACCCCTACCACACCCTCCCCACACCCCTACCACCCCTACCCCTCTCCAGACCCTACCACCCCTACCACACCCCTCCCACACACCCTACCCACACCTCCCCACCTCCCCCTACCACACCCCACACCCCTCTCACACCTTCCCCACCCCCACACCCTCCCACACCCCTACCACACACACTCCCACACACCCTTAATCTCCCCTATGTATGTTTACACGCCCCACAAAGGTGATTCAGGAAAGTCATTACAGGTACATATGTAGTACAGTACAGGTATACAGTTAATTTCCTACGGTCAAATTATCCAGGTGATGCCTCAATATAATCAACACAGGTATAAATTACAGGTACACACAGGTAATAAGTACAGTTAATTACTTCACAATGACACAATTACACTAATGTTACCATAATTTAACACGTGACAAATCTATTCTAACAGTCTAGATTATTTCAAGTTCTTAATAGCAATAATCTAGTTTATAATTATCTAGAAAAAACAACTTAAGTTCTCGGTTGATTGATTTATTTCTTTATAAACCTTAATATTTACTAAGACTTAATACACTGTCTCCTGTCTCAGTGTTAAGTGAAGGTATCTAGTTAAGGTAGAGTCTCAGTGTTAAGTGAAGGTATCTAGTTAAGTA